TACTATGTCGGGACGGTTGGCTTTAATGGTCCGATCTGTTCATATGGGGTAATCCCACATGATTGTGGATTCCTGTATATTTACCACTGGCATTGGTACATGCTCGAACCATTTGTTGGGTACTTCGCCTCCAAGTTGTTTGCAGATTGACCAATGTATATAACTAGCAACCTTGTTGTGCCGATGAGTATACTCGGTAGCAGCAAGCGTGGTTCATGTACTTAGTATATGTGCGGTTGTCTCTTCTGCTTTTCCACACATTCTACATCTGCTGTCTATTTGTATACCAAGTATTCGATTTTGGTGATATCTGGTATCCCTTGAGGTCTGATCCACGTAGCCAAGCTATACTGACATCTTTGTCTACATGTGGCTAATTTATTATTATTATTTATTTGTTTTTTTCTCTTCTCTTTAATGTCAATATAAAGTTTTATAAGTATTTAACGATTAAATCATATTATGGAGCATGCTGTAATGTCCTATCATCTTAAACTTCTTAAAATGTAAGAAAATAACACTAAATCAATCCCACAAAAAAATATTTATTCAAAAAGATATAACAACCGGTTTATCGGCATTATAATAGCACAGTAAGTATCAATCTTTCTATCTAATTTATTTCTGTATAGATAACTTTGTGTTTTCAAGTATTTCTATTTAGTTTTTCTTTGAATAAACCTTATTATTATATCGGTCACCCCTCGTAAGTTTTACTGTGTTCAGAATCAGGACCCAATAAATTACCTCTTGCCGATAGTGATCACGGTATCCGTTTCTTGATCCCGGAGACCCATAGGGACCAACGTTAAGGCCGTATTGACTTATCGATAACATTATTCTAAGTTGAAACTTTTGGTGAAATCGAAACGAAACCATTTTCAAAACGGAACTGAAAGTCAGTGTATTAATTGGGTATCGAGTGGATGGATTGGGTCCTTTATACAGGAAAAATTATTTAAAATATTGGTAGTTTGGTACACGTTTTATATGGAACTTTTATATTTTATTTGTACGTTCTGTATAAGCATTTTTTCGTTAAAATTTTAAACCTTTGTAAAAATTGACTACTGATATGTTCCCTACAGTTTTATACAGAACGTCTGCAACTTTGCAGATCTGCAAATATGGCGGACATACATATGCATGTATCAAGTTTTCGTATTCCAAAAAAGATCTGCAAATTCGCAATATTTATTGTGGTTTATTACCCCCAACAACACTAAACCCAATTCCATTACTATATTTAAAAACTCGATAATCTGACACCATGAACAGTATTCAATCAAAAGAAACAGAAGACTTCATGGTTGTAGGATGTTCTAACCTTCTTAAGGGTTGATTTGGATTTAGTGTCGTTAGAGGTAATAAATATTGCGAACTTGCAGATATTTTTTGGATACTTGCATCTGTAAGTCCGCCATATTTGCAGATCTGCAAAGTTACAGACGTTCTGTAATCTCACCCTTACTCAAAATCTCTTTATTTTAGCAAAGGTAGAACAATATTTACCGAAGATATCGCGGGATCAAGAATTGTAAAATAGAAAGCCATCTTGAATTAAAGGAAGGGATGTAAAATCACCGCCCTCTTAATAAAATAAACGGATATTTTTCCTGAACTTTGAGATGGGAAATTTGGGATCAATACCTAAATCTCTAGCAAGTGTTTTGGAAACTAAATATTTTTTAAGAGTATCTTGAACATTTAATGCATTTGGAGATGTTTAATTTTAATGCCAAATTAAAATTGAACACAATATTGTAAATGGTTCACGACTTTTAATTATTGATTTAGCACTCATTTTTGTTTTCGTGTCTTTATAGTCTATTTTTATTTATGAGAGAGTAATAAAACAGCATTTCTAATGCAAAAACTTAGTACGGTCATTTTAAATATTTTTACAGAATAATCTAAATATTTCCTAAAATTGTAATAAATGTACCTGAGCTATTACAAGATGTGGGTCTTTTATTGGTCCTTTATAAACATAAGCTGTACAGAACAATAGAAAAAGGTTTGGACAGGCCAAAAGCCCTGTGTATTAAAGATTACATAGCCGTATCTTAAGATTATTTTCAATAAGTACCTATTTGCCAATTTTGTTTTATTTTAATTCCAAGAATTTCTTACAGTAATCGAATTATAAGTAGATAAATACCTTCCCAACAAATTTCACCGAAAATAAATATAGGTTTTCCATTTAGTAAGGAGGTCCAAGTTGTGTATTTTTGACAGTTTACTAAATGTCGTTTAGTTGCAACTTGCAAGGTGCAGTGTGAATTCTAGTGTGATCATGGAAAATTTGGAAGGGCCGCGTAAACGACAAAAAATCGGTCCTTTAACAGTTAATGAAAAACATTAATATTTAATTGTTTTAATTCATTTATGTAAAAGTGTTGATGACACAGTGGAATTAGTTAGTAGTATGCTTGGTGTTGGGAAATCTACGATTTACAGAGTTGTTAAAGAATGAAATGTGGAGAGTTTCAAACAGCACGTAAAGCTCCAGGAAAACCAAAATTTCAAATAGAAAATCTTTTGAAAGAAAGACTTCGAAGGAAAGTGCATGCATTCTTCTTTAGAAAAGAATTTCCAAAAAAGTTCTTGCCACGGTTCGAGATGATAAGGATTACCCTGAAATAAGTCGAAGCACACTATGGAAACTTTTAAAAGAAATAGGTTTTCTATGGAAAAAGCATTCCAGAAAGTCTATTTTAATAGAAAGAAGCGATATTGTAGCATGGAGAAGAAATTATCTAAGGACTATAAAAGAAATGAGAAACCAAAGAAAAAATATATTTTATTTAGATGAAACATGGATCAACGAGGGACATAAACCAAATAAATTTTGGCAAGATGAAACTGTTACAAGTCGAAGACAGGCTTTTTTAAATAATTTATCTACTGGTTTAAATCCACCATCAGGAAAGGGGCACAGACTAATAATAGTACACATCTGTAGTTCAAACAATTTTGTTAAAGGTGGTTTATTGACTTTTGAATCTACTCGTACCGGTGACTACCATGAAGACATGAATGCTGATGTCTTTAAAGAGTGGTTCGAACAAATTATAGATCTTCTTCCTCAGAACTGTATAATAGTAATGGATAATGCAAGTTATAACTCGAGACTTATAGAAAAAATGCCCACAACCAAGTGGTTAAAAAATGATTTACAGAATTGGCTAAATTCAAAGAATATTAAGTTCCAGCCCGGTTCTGTGAGAAAAAAACTGTATCATTTGTGTTCCCTTTATTCCTATGGATTCACGCCTATGGATTACGAACGCTTTATTATTTTAATACTCTCTCATACATAAAAATAGACTATAGTAGTATCTTCACATAAGTATTTAATAAGTTAATAATTGCACAGATATTCTTCAGTGGTTTAATTAAAAACTGTAAAACTGTAAAACCTCACCATCAGTAGTGTAGGTAATATGTGGTAATAACAATTTTCATATTACAATAAAATTATTTGGAACTCCGTTACAGTACGTATTTACTATAACATTTTAACAAGACAAAATCAGTCTTAAAAAAATCCAGAAAATGCATCCTTAAAATATCTACAAAGTTCTACATAGGGCTGTTAAATTTAATCCAAATATATTAAGTTTTTTTTCACCTATTCATCTATCCTGGTATATTAGAAATTTTACCAGATTTATTTATCAATTCAAAACAAAAAAAAAGCTTTCTTAAATTTCAATTTAAATCTGCTCATTTCTCTTCGAAACCAAATACCGCGCTTATCCTTTAGTTTTCAATTTTAACCATCCTTTATAATCCTTATAACTCATAACTCATAACCATGGACAAAACGGGAAAACTTTTATTTTTTTTAATAAAAGCGATAATGACATTTTCCTCATTTGAATCGTATTTGAATAGAAATGGCCGCTGAGGCTGGGAAAATGGGATACATTTCCTCTAATAGATGATAATTTATGAGAAAATTATGCTTTTCTAAGCAAAATGTTTCGTATATTTTTATTTAATTTGGAAGGCCAATAGGATTATTTTTCAGTTTTAAACCGTTTGGAGTCTAGACCAAGATTATTTTTTACTGTCTGTCAATGTATATTAATCAATCTAAATCTTTAATTTCACTAGCGCTTAATTTCCTAAAGAATATTAATAAATACTGTTGGTTCTATTTCTAAATTGACACTACTGTCTGTAGTCTATTGAGACAATCATGTATTCTTTGTTTTTCTGCAATATAGTGATATATTTATAAATCATAGAACATAGGAAATTTACTTAAACACCTAGAAATATCATTAATATAAATATTAAACATTAATGGTCCTGCATGGGATCCATGTAGTGTGCTAGCTAGAAATTACATATTTCAAAGTGACTCATTAATTCATTAAATTAGGAATATATTAAGTATAATTTGTTTGTAATTAAAATCAAAAAGTTTTAACAAACATTTTCTTGTTCTTATTTGCTCTGAATTAATTCGATCGCCCCTTGAAAGCAGAAGGCTTTAATTAAAAAATATTACGGAAACAGGTAAATGTTCAGATGAAAGGCATATAATTTATATTGGCCCACATTTTCCAAAAAGTTGCGGTAAGAAACTTTGTAGATTAGGACGGAAAAATGGCGCAGGGGTGTACAGAACGACTTCTAATGACTTTTTGAATACCAACTCCTAATTATAATGTAATAACTTTGTGGAATTTTACTTTTTTATGTTCTCGCGGAATTAGTTGCTCTAAAGTTAAAATGAAAAGCTCAGGTGAACAAATTATAAAAAAAATAAGATATTATATAAAAAACTACTTAATACTCATGATACTATAGATATAAAGCTACAATAAATATGTCGATATTTTGATACATAACTGATTGGGTAAGAAAGCCTTTATACATTCAAAAAGATAAATTATGGTCTGAATGAGGCTTAAGAGGTGTTCTAAATCCACCTTTTTTACCTTTTCCGGAACAGACAGAAACTATAATAAATTTACTGATCTTACCTAGATGATTCCATCGAAAATCATAGAAATGACTCGTGAGCTGCTGCATCGGTATCCGGAACTTTGACTTCCTCTCCGTCAGCTTCAATGTACTCGACGCCTTCTTCGTAATCTATATGGCACCTGTTAATGTGGTGGTCTGGATCGCCGTATTGGCTGTGGTAGAATTCCTCGCGCATCATATGATTTAGACTTCCACAGCGACAATATAAAATTGCCTGGAAAAGAAGGATAACGTGTCATTAATCTATATATCTTCGATGAATGGTTGTCATCAATGACAAAGAAGGTAATTCATAACAATTTAAACAGAATGGAACTCAGACATCTAAGTACGAAGACAAAATTGGATTACAGTTATTGGGATGTGCCAAATCAACAAAAGTAAGAATTCAAATTACTGAGAATACTATAGTATTGCCTTGGCCTTCATCAAATAATGTGATTTGTACTTTGAAATATAATTTTGGCATCACGTCACATCATCGTCCCTAGCAACCTGATGAGACCAACATTTCAGACTACGAATTGTGATAAAAAACGACATTATTTCCTGTCATTTGTCACGTTTTTTATTGTTTATTTTTCGAGTTTATTTAGCTTTAAGTTTTGTGTTTTATAAAAAAATAGATGGAAGAAAATAATGTAAACATTAAGCTGTCATTTTTCACCAATTCAAACCATCGATTGATAGATCTGCAATACTGGTAAATACAACAGTTATAAATGAACGTCAGATCTAACAAATCTGAAATCGATCAAAGACTTTATAAGCGCGTTTGGTTGTCTAGTAGAGTCATTGGTATGGATCAAAATTGACAGTTCGCATTAAACGTTGTTTGTTCCATCTCAATCGGCTTAATAATAACGAAGATATGAGCTTAGGTCCTTTTGGCAATATGAGAGCGATTTTTTGTTATTGTAAATGGCATTTAAATGACATTTCGTTTTCAGCATTTCAATCGGACGAATGATAAAGTCTTCTCTCATGTTGGTAAGATCCTCATGTATGACACGAATAAATGACATGTAAAGTCATCTACAATTGAATAGACGTCAGATAAATCCATCTTGCGGCAGAGGATAAATGTCATTTAGCCAAGTTTCGAACCTTAGATAAATGTAGAACCTTAATAAGTGGTGCAATCTTGCGGTGACTTTTGGAACTGTGGTCTTGTACTCTCATTGGTCATCTACTAAAAGTAGATCCAACTGGGTCGTAATGAATGGAGATGTGATCATCTCATTCATTTTAAACCAACCCAAATGTAGTAGCAACAGATAGACATGGAAATTTTCTTCATATATAAAGGATATGTTATCAAACCATGAAAATCAAATAGATCAAAATTAAACTTCCAAGAACATGGCTTCAAGATTTGTACAACCATTAAACAGCAGAAATGTAGTAAGCTTTTTAGCAATTAAGATATTCAAAGCGTCTCTCCTCGAAATGATTTTCTAAAGTACATCTACTTACTCCATAGATCACCCTATAAAATTGCTTGACACATTTGTCACAAAGAATGTGACAAATTAAACAAAGTTAAATAATGCACAATTTTGTTACTTTTGGAATAGATAAATGTTTGCTATGTCTAAGAATGTTTTTGATGTAAAAATATATTTTACTATTGATGGACTTCTGTTTCACAGCCATTGCTTACAATTTTGGCTAATTTTAGATTTTTTATTTGTATATATTGCAGTAAATCAAAACCAGCACCTATACAAAGTTATCTAAAAGAATTTTTAATTGAATTTGGTGACTTACTAATAATATTAACAACCATAAAACAATAGTTATAAGCTTTTCAATTATTAAGATGTTCAAACCTTCTATACTTACTTGAAACGGTTTCCTAAAATCTCTGTTAAGCGTAGCATAAATAATAGGATTGAGCAAACTATTGGCGTACCCCAACCACAAGAACAACGTCGCCAGCGTCTTCAAAGCGTTAGTGGTCTCGAGGAACGGCCTCACCAGCGCCAGCACGAAGAACGGCAGCCAACAGAACGTGAAAGCCGACATTATGATGCCCAGCGTGGTGCTGGCCTTGCGCTCCTTCGCCAATTGGAAGCGCAGCTTCTTTTGATGACTAGCGGTTGACGGGGAGGTCTTGAGGTTCGCCATTAGGGATTGCTTGGGTTTCGAATGGTCCCGGGCGTTCTTCATTTTCGAGGTGGGGGTTTTGTTGGAGAGCATCGGGCATTGGGATTCGTTGCTGTGACGGGATTTGAAGCACCTGCCTAAAGTCGTTTTGTCTAGGCTGCACTGTAATAAAAACAATTATGTTAATTTGAAAGTTCAGTAGATGTTTTTTCTTGTATATAGTTGTCAAACCATCTTTTTCATTTATTGACCGACTTCAAAATGTTCAGCGATAATTCTTTATCGCGTTGTCCGATTTCTAGGATTCTTTTTTTGTTAGAAAGAGGTTATCTCAGGGATGATCCCATATACATTTGGTTTAGATCTAAAGATGGAATCTATGACAAAATCAGCAAAATTTAGTGTCGATTTTTTAAAGTTACTTTAGTTTATGGTTCAGATATTTAAAAAATTGCTGAATGATTCAGGTATATCGCCCTTGTATTTTGTTCTACCACATATTACGTTTTAATGTCAGCCGTTGCTCATTAAAAGTTGTTAAACATTAACCTTCATTTCTTGTATAGCTGTAATAAAAGCTTTCCGGATTCAATCAATATTGAAAAAATTCCAAAACTTGTGGATGATTATCGGCAATGTTTGCAATCTTAAGTTTTTAAGTACCGATAAACTTCTATCCTAGGTATTGGTAACTCGGAACAAATATTGTTTTTGCCAAATAACTTTTTAATAGGACTCGTCTACGTTCTTGCTAGTTAGTTCATCTATAATGTTTTATGTAAGTTCTGACTTTTGACTAAAGTATACATAAAGTAATACAGGATAAATTAAAACATTACATAATATTGCTATGCACCTGTTATTTCCATACTTCAGGGTATGATTGAGATGAGAGGTCCTCAAACGTTTTGTCTTTTAGGCCACTTACAATGTCAGTTTTCATACTAGTTCCTACACTGTCTTTACGAATGTCTAAGACAGGAATGGACAAGCGCTTCTACTTTAATACAGGGTGTTTTATCTACCTATATTCCCTAATAAAATAATTTAAGGTATCAGAGACAGGTTCAATCAGTCAAGGTATTTAAATCCAGTGTATTTTTTCAAGTTTTAAGAAAATTCTTTTTTTTTGCTCACATGGACCACTTGTAGGTCATCATCGACCCCTGGGGTTCAATATAGATATAGCAAATACGTACAATATCAAAATATAGCAGCCCTTGATTGGTAATAAATTATCGAAATAAAGTATATCAACTAATAACATATTATTAGTATAATACCTTTTCTGAAACATCCTGTATTACATTAAAATTAATTTAAGTACTTCAAGAAAGTTCTGTCTCGTCATCTTGTCTTAATTATGAAGTCGGCGGACCAACAGAGTTTTCGGCTAAGAAAAACAAACTCAGGTATTTAATTTCCTCCTAGACCAATTAACTTTTCCCTTGGGACATTTTAATTGCTACTTTGCCAACAGACAGTGTTAAAACTGTTTCCAGATGGCGCAGCGGAAGTTCCAGTTAATAAGGAAAAGTAATTTAAATACGTCAATATTGAATATGAAATTATTTGCGATAGATTATTCTATAATCTTGGTACAACATAAGTGTAACATCTTTGACCTAAGACTTTATTCACTCTAGGTAAGCAAACCTTATTTGCTAAATTTGATCTTGTCAAATAATTGTGATCAGTTATTGTGGATGTTACAATATTATGTTTTATTGCAAACAGTGCCTTGTGGAACTCCACTATTTTTATTCCACTAAGTGATTCATTAATTTTAACACGCTGGTATCTGTTCATTAAAAAAGTGTTAAGGGAGTACCTCTGATACCAAGATGTTTCATTTTGTCAATTATTAATTTGTGACTTACTATGTCAAAAGCTTTTTGTAGATCTATAATTTATTTATTTTATTTATTTATTTAAGGGTTCACCCCCATTACAAAAATATACAATATATAAAAGTGTCTATTACAAAAAGAAAATTTAAAGTAAAAAAAAAATAAAAAATAAAAATATAAATATACCATAAAACTAAATTTGCGAGAGTATCAATCAAATTAAGCTCTCTTTATACGTTTTTTAAATGTACAAAGTGATATACCAAATAAAAGGTCTTTACAAAAACATACCACATATTCCTTTGACCAAAATAAGTCGATTTAAGTAATATTACCTTAGTACAAAGTTGCTTCGTTTGGGCTCCAGAGGGCCTTGAAGTTACAATTTTTAAATCGTTTTTCCCATATAAATTTAAAACGGCATATGCGATTTTGCTGAAATTTGGTATACTGGTAGAGTTTTATGTGGCAAAAAAAATGGTATTAAAATTTTGTCCGATAATAATACATAGGCGTAGAACTTGATTTTTTAAATAATTGTACCTTTAAAAATTCTACGCCAATGGAAGAAAAGGAGTTTGAGTATGAAATTTAGATTGCGCAACTCATTTACTTTAAAAAAGGTACTCTTGATAAGACTCGATTACTCTCATGGTTTTGACGAAATTTGCATTTTTAGTAATTTTAGAACATAAACAATAATTATTAAAATACAAACTTTGTCAAAACCATGAGAGTAAATCGAGTGTTATCAAGGGTACTTTTTTGTAGTAAATGAGTACCCAATCCAAATTTCATACTCAAACCCCTTTTTTGCCATTGGCGTTGAATTTTTAAATGTGCAATCATTTAAAAAATCAAGTTCTACGCCTGCAACGTTTATTTAGAACAGTATATTTCGCTAATTTAAATTTAAATGTGTAATTATTTAAAGGACTAACCAGAAAGATAAAATACAAGGCGATCTTAAGAGTGTGCATAAATAAAGCTTAATGCAATATAACAACCCGTCAGTCGGAGAGTTTGGTGTGGGTTAAACAAATGTCGAAAGATCTCAATAAAATATACCTATAGGCGCCACTGCCTTTGAGCGATAAGTCAGAAAACTTCCCTATGTTGTGGGAATCCCCTAGTATTTTAAAATTGTTCCTGATTATTAAAAAAAAAAAATAAGAAATAATAAAAAAATATGAATATTTCAAATTAAATTTCGTTTAATTTTCCCTTTTTAAAAAGAGAGAAAAATATCACTGATCATCTACAATATCAATGGCGTATGTATTAAAATCAACAAATAATTATTATAATATAAAAGCAACCTTTTGGACTTATTAATTAATAATCCTTTATACAAAAAGAAAAAAAAAATAAATAAAACTCTTGTTCTATTAATTGGGGTTATACTCCTCGCATGCGGGGAGCTCACAGATTTTCCCTTAAATATTTCTTACACAAAATACTCTTTTATTTATTTAACCAATATTAATTATATTTTGCTTATATTTATATCAGGTAAGTAACGTAATAATTTGTATAAAAGAAAATAAGAATGTCGTTTAACACCTTTAACCCCAAGTTAATATATTATGCTCTATTTTTTTTTTGAGAAAAATATTAATAGTAAAAAAGAGAAATAAAATTAAACTTATGTATATTATAACGCAAATACTTTTCCTTTTCCTGTAAAGGAAAAAATGAACACGAACACAAACAACTGAGTAGTCCAAATTCTCTCGATGATATCCCCAATTGTGTCGAAGATGGGCGAAGAAAAAAAATAAGTAGGTACTTACAGTTGGATTATATTATTAATAATTTAAATACCCACTCCAAAGGTTACCGTTGACAAACCATCCACGTTGTCCAGGACAAAAAAATGTTTTATTAAAACTCAAAATCACCAATAGGTACTTCATAACCAAAAGTACGAAACGATAATCCAAACCAACAACCCTAAAAGTAATAATAATTTCTACAGCGACGAAAAACTAAATATTCTTAATTTATTAAAACTGAATTAATAAAATTTAATCGAAACCAAATTAGAAAAAAAAATTATATATACCTCAATTTGACTCTTGACGGTTGTGCTATCCAATGTAGACCAAATAAATTATTGAATAGGTTTTCACTGTAACAAAACGACAAATTACTTATCGTATTTTAAATGATAACACGGAAAAAGCAAGTTGTCGATGCCAACAAAAAAAAAGGATTATAAAAAAGTTACTCACCAAAGAAACAATTAAAAATTGTTATGGAGTGCCAGTAAATCCTCCCTTAGGAGCTACAGCGTCACCAAAACACCAAAGGGTGACTCCACTATAGATTAGCGATGAAACAGATTTAATCCCTAACAATTTAGGCGGAATAATTTCCAATTTTCTGTTAAATCGAAGCACTCTGAAGACAATTGTATACTGATCACCTGTCAGTGTGAATGCCTCCGCGATATCCAAAATTTATCTTTGTGTATCAGGTGCGCGAGGCGGTCAATTATTTTTGATAGTACCCAAACCTTAGTATATACAACCCACATTACAATAAATTGGAATTTAAAATAATATATTGAAGAACAAGAGAAATATTTTATATTATTTTTTGTAATGACCAAACGGGTCGTTACACGCCTATGTATTATTATCGGACAAAATTTTATACGATGAAAAACATAAAAATGTACTTTTTTCATATCTTCTTCAACATCTCTAATCGAGACTTTTAACAAAAATACTCGATTCTTGCCATGTACGATTTTTTGAGAAATATTAATTATTTGCCTGCAATACGTATACAAAAACATTTATTGTTGGTTTCCATAGTTTCATATCAAGTTTTAACACCTAATCTCTTGTTAACGATTGAAAGTGTTCTATCTGACTCAATAATTAAAAAAACAAATGCGTGGTTTATTAATGTGGCTGTACAATATACCAATGCAGAATATACCGATATGTTACTGACATTAGGATTTTGTGAAGGAAATGCTGCTCAGGGTGTACTCTGAAAGGTTTCCAAATCGTCGTGTACCTAGCCACCCAACTTTTGCTGCTGTTGAGAGACGTCTTCGGGAGACCGGTTCCTTTGCTCCCAACACTGTTGATAATGGAAGAGAACGTTTTGTAAGGATTCCTGAAGTTGAAGAAGACATTTTAGAACGTGTTGAAGAAGATCCAGAATTAAGCACCAGACGGATTGAAAGGGAACTAGGAGTAAGTAAAGATGTCGTTCATAAAGTGCTTAGAGAACAATTGCTATATCCATACCATAAGAAGCCAGTGCAAGAATTATTAGTCCATGATACTCAAATTC